TTTTATTAACAAAAAAAAAAAAAAAAAAAAAAAAAAAAAATTACCCACGGCTAACCTCAATAAGGTGACCTTACCCCCCCCCCCCCAACGAAAAAAATGTCAAATTTTGAAATTTCGAGACCCCCAAAAAGTGTCCGCTTACCCCCCCCCCCCCCCCCCCCCCCCCCCCCCCCCCCCCCCACTGAGCGACTTTTCGACTGGCTGAGTCGTTGCGATTTTTTTTGGACCTCCCAAAAAAAAAAAAAAAAGTGTCCGCTTTACCCCCCCCCCCCCCCCCCCCCCCCACTGAGCGACTTTTCGGCCGGCGCGATTTTCAAATTTTCGGGAGCAAAATATTTTAAAACCCCCCCCTTGAAAAAATCCTGCGTACGCCCCTGGGTAAGAGGAATGCAGGTTAGAATAGATCATTTAAATGCGCAAGAGTGTATAGGTTATGAGGCTCCAAAGAAATGGATCAGCGTCTGTCATTCATATGCTACAACAGTATTGATGGTAAACAGCAAGGAATTTATATTACAATGAATCGTATCGACACAACTAACAATGTATTTTTATTCAACTTTATTTAATAATAAGAATGTTACACCTGTGAATTACCACGCAGTTAACCTCAATACATGTGGGCAGTTCTTAAACAAATAATAACAAAGACAATATAAAGAGGAACAGATCGCAATCTAGAGTCTTGATCTGTAAAAAGGGAATTGTTAACAATCAAGATAAAATTGTTTAAGATCAATCCTTCCAATATAAATGTGTTTATAATTACATAACATAACAGAAGTAGGGAATAGAATAAAAAAAAAACGGAAATTCTAAAGTGTTAACATTAAGAAAGCATGTTTTCTGTTGTGGGTAAAGGGCACTCACCCCGAAAACGCACACACGACCCGGGAAGCACGACAAAAGGAACCGATGCGCTTTACAAATCGTATAGAGCACAAGCTCCAGCCATGCATACCAAGCCGCAGGCAAGTCCCCGAAGAGAATGTCGTTAATTAGCATAGCAAAATATTTATTACAAAAAAAAAAAAAAAATATTGCAACTGGCAAAATTCATATCAATGACATGCATAACACCATGGCTAGTACACATCCATTAAATAAAACAAGTAAATGTACTACAGTGCAACATTTTTGGTTTCTACTAAGTCTTTCGAGTTTGTATAGTGGTCACATAATTACAAAAAAAATTCCATCATTAAAAAATATTGCGGAAGTGTCAACGAACAATTATAAATATAGAGAGGGGAAGAGAAAAAAAATACATATATATATATATATATATATAATTATGTATGAACAAAATACAAAGCATCATGGCGAGTACAAAATATCCATGAAATAAAACAAGTAAATGTGCCACAGTACAACATTTTCAATTTCTACTAGTATTTCAAGTCTGTATAGTGGTCACGATTTTTTTTTCCTTTTAAATTCCATGATTGAAAATATTGCGGAAGTGACAACAAACAATTAAAGATACAAAGAGGAAGAAAAAAAATCTATATATATATAATATGAACAAAATACAAAAAATATCTTGACATTTTTGCGTCAAGAAAAACAAAATATACATGTACTTAAATATATGCGTAAGTCCACAATGATTTTAACATGCATTGTACTATATACATTCGATTTTTAAAGCGTATAATTCATATCATATGCAAGGGCGAGACATAAATAACCGAAGTTGAAAGTCGGTGTGTCCATACAGAGTTCTATTTCGGTTTACGTTGAAGCATGTCCATTACATATTTCTTTAAAATGCTTTGTAAAGGTTTTAATGAGCGAACTTAAAGAGTCTAAAATAAATGTTCAATCAAATGTATAATTTGATCATTGTTCCTTCTTTGTATGTAAAGTCATTATTTCTCACATAATATTCTTCTTTCCTTTTCAATTCCTTTCTCCTTCGGCATAAATTAGAGTCTGTAATGTTGAACAGAGAGAAATATAATACAGCGAAGAAGAAAAAAAAGAAAAAAAAACAAAACAAAAAGTATTTTATCGTAGAATAAATACGTAGTTCATGCTTACATCTTTTGTTGTTTTGATAGGTATCATTCCTGTTGATTATTCCATGTGTTGGTGCCTTTGTTTTTCCACTGTAAGATCACAGAGGTGCCTTGAACAATTATCCTGCTGGATAGACCTCGTTCCTTTCGGAGCTTGTAGGCTTCGTTAGCTAAAATGCCGCGTCGTTGTTTCAGGACAGGCGGTAGGTCCGTCCTGACAGTGATACGGCTCGCTTGGGCAGGTGGGCTGGGCGTTGGCTGGATACCTCCTGGTCCGGCTACTAGGGTGCGGCTGCGTAGTTGGCGCTGGAAGAGTGATAGGACGTGATCGCGGTCGGCCATGACGGCAAATCGGGCAATGATGGGGGTCGGTGATCGGGGCTGGGTGTTCTGACCCTGTGGTAGACGGCGGGGCAATCGGTGGGCGTTGATTAGCGGGATAGTTTCTGCTCTGGCATTCTCCATTCAGAGCTCTTTAAATGCTTTACGAACGATGATATACGTATCCTCACTCTGCTCGGTCTCGTGTACTCCATATAAGAGAAGGTTTTGCTTTCTATTGTAAATCTCTAGTGACAACATTTTGTCCTCCATTTTTTGTATCTGTTCCTTCGTTTTTGCTTTTAGAATTGGCAGCTCGGTCGTTTCAATATCGTGCAGTTTGTTAGAGTTAAATTCAACACTTTGTTCCAAATTCGTTAGTTTGTCACTGAGTCCACTCACTTCTCGTGTTAGCGTATCGATTTTGCCACACATCATAGATGCGAGGTCTTGAATTGACTTTTGAATGTCACTGTTCGTTGGGTGCTCAGACTGGGGCTGGGGCATAATGTTGGTCATAATGGTCGAATAATTTTTTTTTACCCCAATTTATGGAATGATTGTGACAATCATTTTTCCTAATAGATCAAGATAATACATTCTCAGATTTTATTGAACAATAATTTGTGAGTGTTTGTTTTGCGTGACTGCTAAAGCATGTATGCTACTATGCTAATCAACTAGGGGACCTACGTCCTTAAGCCATAACTGACAGTAATGAGGATTAATGCCTCATAAAAGGGCACTAATATAGCACATCGACACGGTTTTGATCCTGGGGGCTCACAGTAACGAGGCTGTTGCTTAGCCAATGAATCATGACTGTACGCATCGGGGGTTAGGGTACGTCACCGCCCCCACAAATACAAAAAAACAAAGAAAATGCAATAAATTATCAATAACTCATTGCATTTTGCCCCTACCCCCAACATATTGTTTAAGGCATGCTCACATAGAGGATTTTTTTTTTTTACGCAAAACAAACACTTACAAGTTACAGTACTATTCAATTAAATCTGAAACTGTATACTATTATCTAGATCTATTAGGATTAAATCATTGTCAAAATCATTCCATACATTGGGGTAAAAATAATTATTCCACCATTGTGACCAACAGTGTAATTATATGAAAACTATAGCTTAATAAGGTCAAATGAATATGAGATCAGACCGGCAACAAAACGAATAGATTATGTTACCCTTAATGGGGTCGGTTTCGGTGGTTTGACTGAGGTATAATAACCAACATCAGAAAATGTCTGGGAGTGAAATATATAATTACAATCATCGCAATCGATATCACATGACAAGCTGTGGACCAATCAAAAGGTTGTTTCTTTAACAGCTTTCTATTACCCTAAATTGCCTTTTAATAAGTCGGTCGTTTTGAATCGGTTTACAGTCAGTTTGGCATTGTGTCTGAGGCACAATATATTTTCTATCTCGTCAATTACAGTAGGCAATGTAAGTGTATGACGTTGAATTGAAAGAGTCCGGCATTAACTAATGCCCTATGCGTTAATGTACATTGACGTTGACCATGCAGGAATGTAAGCTAATTATCATACTTTTATTTATTCGCATATTGAAACCCTAAGTGAGATTATTTGTATGAAAATGACCGACCAGTGTTTAATTTTAGTAATGATAATGATGATAGTAATGGTAATATACTAAATATTGCAATGAAATGATTATAATAATAGTCATAATAATGACATTATTTTCATACAGTGCCATTCCAAAAAGTAACCCACCATATAACTTCACAGTGTAGCTTGCATTTATGTGTGTGGGTGCGCGCGCTTGTGTGGGTGTATTTTGTGTGAGAAGCATGTCCCTAAGAACGCGTAGAAAGGAGGCCTAACATGTAATCCATTAGAGGCCAGCCGACAAAAGAAGAGCAATGCAATGTTTAAAAAATGCAATGTTTAATTCAATATTTCTAAAAAGCTTTATTTGAAGGTGGTTTGTAGGAATAAATAAAATGCACACAATTTTTAATTTTTCAAAAATAATAGTACATAAAACACGATTGCAACTCATTTCTAGAAATCAACTCAAGTAAATTTCTATAGCTTTGTGCGTCACCTATTGAAATTTGCAAACATGACACCGAGGTTTTAAAGCTTATCAGTACTAGTTTACAGGAGGGATTAGACCGCCCTGCAAGATCACTGGACAGGTGGTTATCTCATCAACTCAGCTCTCAGTTAACATAAGTAAAAGAGGATCATGGGGGACCAATGGTCACCGATTAGGCATTGTTTAATATAGAGAGGGCGCAAGTAGCTACAAGTAGTGCAGTGGGCGACAATTGTTCTGGGGTGTTCAACAGGGTAGGCCCTATTGACATTTTCCTTTAATAGTTGATTTTTCTGAGATAGTTGCGATCGTGTTATATTGAGGAATCTTGCCATTTTCAAAGAAATAATATTCAAGCAAATATTGTTGTTTTGATTAAAAACCAGCCATAAGTAAAGTGCATGTTAATATTCAATAATAATATGTCTAACTACCTTTATGAGTTATAAAAACGATTATGTCTTGTCTACCCAGGATATCTTCATCAATATTATTACTGTTCTTCCTGAGGGCCCTGAATCATATTAATAGGGACTTTTAGATTGGCGCAAAGACAACGGGGATTGCTACGGTCGACGTCCTTTTAATGCACTACCTTGAATGGACGTCACACGTATCAGTCCACGCAAATCTAAAAGTCCCTATTACCCCGGCTTTAGCCGAGCTACCATGAAAAGGCGCTCGACTTTCTTTATGCCGGGTATACCATTAACCTCACCTGTGTCGAGTGTGGCAAATGTAGATTTGTCTTGCCAAAAGACATTAGGGCCCGGCCGGCAGGAATCGAATGGCGAACCATGTGATCCACAGTCCGGTGACGTCTACTAGACCTCGACCCCTTTCTGTTGAACGGATAATCTATTACTTCATCTTCACATATATTTACTTTATCATTCTCATATATGGCCAATCTTCTCAGATTAAATCATTAACATTAAAAAATGTTACAACTTGAAAGGAACTGAACTTTTCATGTTGTACGGTTGACGACTGTATAACTTATTGGTCCATGATTTACTAATTCAATTAGATAGCGGCCATTGAGAGAGTTAAAAAGAAAAATATATTTCTTGAAATACACGTCAAACATATGTGTAAAAGCATTAGCAACTAATATATCTACACCAAAAACAATGCCCTTTCCCTCTAAACAGCTTACTATACGCAGGCAACAACGTCATATATTTATGAGGAAATTTTCGTATATTTTCGAACTTTCTGTTATGTGTTGTGCTAGGGATACGATGGAATACGCACTAGGCAAATTTCTCTCACAAGAAGCTCAATTATAAACTTCTCTTATAAATGCAACATTAAAACGATACAATGTTTGCCTGAAATTTTATGAATTATCATGTTAAAGTAGGTCCATATAGTATAAGTTAGTTAGTTTCACTAATTATCTATATCACGAAGCTGTACACCATTGCCGTCTACTGGAGGCTCGTCGCTGTGAATAAAGGCTTTATTATTCACTGAATATGTTTGAATGTTATGGGAATCAGCGAGACTCGTACTATGTGTTAAACTGCTGAGACGATCCCTCAATGGCGCCAACCTGGCCTTCCAGAGAGCAGCCACTCGTTTGTTAAAACATAACACGATTGGTAGGATGAAGGTCGAGAGTTGGTTCAGAAGCTGAGCGATGATGGCAAGACTAGAGATGGGTTTGAACAGGAACGCCACGTAGAAGATCCAAGATGGAAGCCAGAGAACACCAAAGATTGCCGCCATCTTGTAAATTAAGGGAGGAAAATGGGATGATATTAATAAATCACTATTTATTAGCTTGGAGGGTTATATCTCCCTAAAAATGGCAATGGATGGTCAGCACTATATTTGCTTCAACTGATTTTGTATTTCTAATTTGAATAACCGTAACCAGTTTAGTTTAAACTTTGCAATTAGATTAGAATATTATTGTAAGAATGAACTTATAATGTAAATTTAAAAAGTTTTAATCATCCCCAACCTTCCTTTCTTCTAAACTTTTGGAATACAATAATAATTATTTAATTATTTAAAACAATTCGCATCCTTTCTACACAAACATTTACTTTGTAAAAATATACAAAACACAATACAAGTAAACAATCTTTAGGCAATTGTAATTGAATTATGTGTGAGAATTCGAAGAAGAAAGGAGGAAGATTTAGAACCCTTGAAAACTTAGATTATGATCATCAATTGTAGGAGAGTTATAGTTAAGCGGCCAGCACCGTGTGGGGACCAGCATAGATGATTAGATGATTGTACCGAAATGCATTTTTTCAATTGATCTCTTAAAACTATAGAGCAATGACTTTCCATTAGCTTGTAATAGATAGAAGGTTCAGAAATTACTATGCAAAAATGACAATTTACCTTTATCGTTAATTGACGTTCATTCCTTCGTCTATGCTTTCCACCCGAGTCCATCGATGCCACATCGAGTCGTGTTTCCCTTAATCTCTGAACCACCAAGACAAAAAGAACACAGCCTACAAGGAACGGTATAAAAATTTGTGTTGTTATGAGATACGTCGGCCATCCATCGATAAGCCAGCAGTATTCGTCGATGTCATAGATCTTGATGCCTCCAATGTGCAGAAAGACGGCAAGAAGAGCCAATATTAGAGGAAGACCCCACCCAAAGAGGGAAAGGAGAAGAAAGAAGCGGCTTCCAGAAACCTCATCCATGCGATGAATACCTTTCCTGCCAAGAGTCCACGCCATGAAAATGGCAACAGCCGTCCACCAGTAGTTTGGTACAAGTACAAAGTAGTAGATGAGAGTAGCTAAGAATGCACAGAGTTGAGGATTATCAGTTTCAAGTGGGATGTACCCTGATGTGTAAAAGAGAGACAGCAACCCTGCAACTACAAGGCTCAGGACATTCTTACCATGGGTGTTACGGAGCTCTTTGAACATGACAAACGTGAGCAGGCAGAATAGAAGTGCAGCTGAAGATAATCCGTTGAGGATTCGAAGACACATCTTCAACCATTTTGGAAGTTTGTCCCACGTCTGATCGCCGCGTAGGGGAATAATGGGGGGTGCATCGGCCGTGGGCAGTGCAAAAAAATATATTGTGCAGTTAAGCGAATATGGGAATGTATCGATGGGGGCAATTTCTTCCATGCCTGTATCATCAATGAATAGAAATTCTGGTTTCAACGCAACGAATAATGTTTCATTGATCGTGCAAATTGAATCATTCTGTTTTTCCCATTCTAGTTTCAACCAATCACCAGCATCGGTACATAACCCAGTTTCATATTCCTCATCAGGATTGACAGAGATGCAGAAGAAGCTATATAAAACTGACCCAGACTCATGAATCTCATATCTATACAGCCGTTTTAAATCAAGATTTAATTCACACTCCAGCGTCCTGAATCGACAGTCCTCTTCAAAGTATTCAAAATAAGCAACGTTTTTTTTCATTAGCAGTGCAATCGTTTTCAAAATCATTTGGAAAGTTTTGCATTGATACAGAAGCAATGGAATAGCTTACATTTGCAACCCCATTCTTGTAATAAAACGTATTGCTTCGTAGACAAACAAGAACTGATTCAAAGTCGTCAAAAAGTCCTCGAAAGGAAATCATAATTCGGTCAGCTTCATTACTTCTATTTTGAGGAACTACTACATTATCAACATCTCCTGACACCATGCTTTCCAAAGAAGTTTCCAGATTTAGAAGGAAGTCGTCCGAAAGCGAAAAATTGGACGATTCGATGACCAATTCTGCAATTCCATTGAATGTTTGAACCGAAGCGGCCAACCTCACTGCTAGAAAAACCACAAGCTGGAGAAAAGCAATAGAGGCCACATTTTTCCTATCCATGTTGTGTGTCGCGAGTGAACAATTTGTCTATGCTTCTGGTTTCCGGAGTTGAATGTTTAAGTAATGCGATAGAAATCTGAAACTATATGTACAGCAGTCATTAAATAATTTCGGAGAGCATTTGCGGTTAAATTCTAATTGATCTTCGTCTAACAGAGAGTAATCTATGAAATGTCTGATAAATGACTATAGTAAGAACCGTTCATGATCCTGAAGAATTGTATACAAAATCGTTGAAAAGCAAGATATAGGAGGTTTTCAGGAAGCGATATATATATCCAATCCATGTTGTATTCCTTGCACGGGGTTTTATGATTCGAGCTGAGTCGTGATCATAACTTTGACGACATGGAAATGTCATTGAACTCCTCAATGATGTAAATGTACCGTACGTGCAGAGTCAGCCTGGTAGTTCCTTGTCAAGTCCACCAACAGGGGGTTATCTGTGTGCAGCTGTTGGAAGAATCCATTCATTATACGATGCAGGATCCTGTGGAAAATAAACACATACACAGAGGTTTAAGAGTGATAAGGGGACTTTTCGATTTGCACGTTCACTAGTGCACTGCGGTCGGGTTGAATGTTCGTTACCTCTTCAATTTCACACGACGACGATCGTTCAGTGACGTCTGTCATGCATATTTTTGCTTTTGCGCGCAATTCGATCGAATAGCTAGATCAGAATTATGGCGAATCTTCATCACTTCCGGAAGAAATGCGTTCATTTTATGAATCATTCTGCAACAATTTTGATTCAAGGGAAATTATAAACAAGAGAACGTGTTAATTTTAGAACGTGTTAATTCTAAAAACAAGCGGTGCCCGGGCGAAATGGGCTAAAATCTCGCCGCCCGGCCATCGAGCAGGCTACTTTTGGGGGTTGTGACCATAGCTTTACCCTACAACCACTCCCCGCTTGCAGAATTAGGTAAATTGGGTCCATTTTGTTACTTCAATGTGCTGTCTCGTAACTACAAAATAGCGTATACCCCCTGGACATCTACCCCCAGTCAACACCCCCTGGGACAACTACCCGCCGAACAACTACCCCCCCCCCCCCCAGTAAACTACCCCCTAGGAAAACTACCCATTAGCACAACTACCCCCGGAAAACTATCCTAGGGGGTAGTTGTCTGGGAGGTAGTTGTCTCGGGGGTAGTTGTCCTAGGAGTAGTTTTCCTAGGGGTTAGTTGTCTGGGGGTAGTTGTCCGGGGGTAGTTGTCCCGGGGGGTAGTCGCCCTAGAGGGTGATTGCCCTAGAGGGTAGTTGACTGGGGTGATCATATGGGGGGGGTGGATGTCCTGGGGATAGGTGTCCAGATACGGAAAATAACATTACTTGGAAAGTAATGATTACAAGATCAAAATCTAAGTGTAAAAGGGGTTAAGGAGTCATAATTTAATCATATAAACATACACGATATATACCAACGATATATTAGTTTTTTTAAACTACTTGTCAGAACTGAACTGCGTTTGATGTTGCTTGGCTTTTTCCTTCTAAGTTTCCTGTTTTATTCTGGCCTTTTAGAATTTGGCCATACAACCTTCACTTACGATTCGTCAGACTGCTAGATAGTGAAAAAAAAAACATCCAGAATCATCAATCTTAGAGGAATGTCTCATTATAAGGAGCTTTCTTACCTGCAAGATATCGGAGTCACAGTAGTAAATGACCTGAGCCGCTTGTTGTAGGCATCATGAATTCTACGAGAAGTAGACTCTGATCGTTTTGGGGGTCAGTACAGAATGCAGACAGTGCAGTGTTTTTTTTTAATTATTCCCTCAACTGGACACGTTTATACACGATTTAATACCTAGAATTTAAATATGGCACATGTTTATTCACTTTGACTAATACTTAGAAACCCGTTGCTCTGTCCCTGCAAGTAGTTTTTACTTGCACCATGCTAATAGCATTGCACCATGCACCTGGTTTCAGTAAGCACACACACACACACTCATCGGTCTGCAAGAATCTTCAACTGTTAACAGGCAGACAACCCCCAAAAGAAGAGGCTACTTCTATGCAAATACAAGTCTATTGTATTACTTCACGAATGAATGATCCCGTGTCCAGCAGGAATATAGATGTTTACTATTGAAAGATTCAGAGGTCGGCAGTTCTTTTTAACAGGGGCTATTTGTGTAAGAATAAAAGAATGCGCATTGGTATTCTTCACGCGCCTACGTTGGTTCTTGTTACTGGTATCCAGGCTCGCTTTGGTACGAAAAAAATAAGAGGCATCCAGGAAACAAGGTGGAGCTTGGTATATTGAAGTTTGAAGCTTGAAGTTTATTTGTTCCACATTTACATCAACAAATTATTTTTATTTTTTTGATTTTGTTATACAAGCGTATAAGCGTAGATTACACTAACAAATTTAAAGATTTCAAATCAAATATAATGTACGGAAAATGGGTACGAAGTTTCAAAATGTATAGATATGACAGGCAAGGTAAAACAATGTAACACATGGGGAGCCTAAATAAAAAGCATAGCTTGTATGTAAATAGGCTCCCATACTGAGTAACACAATATAGTAGATCTGAATTTAAAAGGTACTATAAGAGGCGAACACGAAGTAGTATAGTATAATATTCTGGAGACACAAGGAGAGTGACTTTGAGAACAAAAGAAAAAAAGAATAAAGACTAAAGCAAATAATTCAATATTGCTTAGTAGTGCATTCCCAGCCTCAATCATGCCATAACGGGAATCTAACCTTGATAGCAAACTAGTCTAGAAGAAAGAAAACAAAATCAGAGAATCTTAATGGTGAAAGTTATGATTTAAAAAAATAGCAATCACTATATATCAAAGTGGCTGAATCGGTAATGTCTTTGTATAATCGCGTTTCCCTATCTCCGTGAATATGTGGCAAGTATATGAACATCGACTATGAGAGATACCCAACTTTGGTGCCAAACTACATGTACGTAAAGGATAACATTTCCACGTAACATAACAGAAAAATAAAACGATAAAGGCTCATCAAATGCAAGTGTCCAATAGTTTGTCTTTTTATTTAGCATACGAGAGCAATGCACATACACTTCTTTCTATAATGAGTTGTTCGAGTTCTGGAAAATGTGGAGAATGTTTTGTGAGCTTTTAATTTTCTGTATTCCAGTTTGATTTGATTTTTTTAAATTGTTATGTGTATGTATTGCATAGATATCAACTTATTTACATTTACAATCTTATAACTTTAGACGTATGATAATGACGTAGTATATAGTATATACATAAAAGGGGTCATTTTGAGCTTAAGTTTGTAAGAAAACTCGAAGAAGAAATGTCACCTGAAGAAGATTGTTCTTAAAGTGACCAGGATATAGGATTAGATGTAATTGAAAAATTTGAACCAAACATTTTTCTGCAGTCCGGTTCCCCAATTTCCATGTGCAGTGCATTATGATCTTTTGCAAGACTGAGTCAGTTTCTTTTCATTCTGATCATTCAAAATATTTAGATTTTGATAAACATCAATCCCCAATTCCTCATGCACTACATAATCCACTTTTCACAAGTGTTTCACACAGTTGCTTTCACAAAGTAATTGCAAGTACTCGACTTAATCCATATTATTAACTTCTTGTAGACATGTTAGAGAGGATCGGGCATGGGGCGCCAGATTACCCGATTGTGAGGGGTACTACATGCTGCCCTTAATTACTACCTGGACCCTACACACGATAGGATCACCATCGCTTATCGCTTACATTCTCGTTAAAAACATGCGAATAATATCGTGTTAGAATAACAACAAAAAATAAAGATATTTTAGGACCTTCTCAATTGTTCTACTAATATAAAAAAGATTAACTTTTCTTTAAGGGATCCGGTCACTTTGTCTCAGATTCTGAAACAAGAACCTATAGATTTAGCTCATGCTGTAATGATAATTATAAATCTTTTTGTCAATCAGGAACCCCATGACTTTTACAAGCCGATCGCCCGTCTGATTTTGAAGATATTTATAATTGGAAATCGATACAAAATTTTGCGTTTTCCTAACGGTTTTCATAACATTACAGTCTATTGGGGGAAATGCAGGGGCGGATCCACGTAGCGATTATTCCGGCCCGCCCCCCCCCCCAGCCCCCCAAAACGATAAAAAATAGGATAATAACGTAAAGTTAACCTTTATAAAAACAAAAACAAAAGCGCCCCCTTCCCCGCTTATTCGCCGGCCGGCTGAGTCGGCACTAAATTTTGTATTATGCTACCCCCCCCCCCTGACGCCGTCTGGATCCTCTGCAGGCACGGATCCACGGGGGGGGGGGGCTGACGGGTCAACAACAACAACAAAAAATAATAAATTCTCACGAATTAGGAGAAAAAAACAAAAATAGTGGTCTCACCCCCCCCCCCCACCCCCCGCTTATTCACCGGCTGACTGAGTCGGCGCAAAATATTTCCTGAAAAATTGGACCAAAAAAAGTGCCTCCTACCCCCCCCCCCCCCGCCCGCTTATTCACCGGTGGCTGAGTCGCAACTAATATTTTCTCACGGATTGCCCCCCCCCCCTCCTCTTCCCGCCGGCTGGATCCGCCACTGGGAAAACGAGTATGGTAAAAAAAAAAAAAGTCACTCATAGATTTTCCAACTACTTCTTTGCGTCTATTTCATGGAGCAGTATTCCCTTGCTGTCTATTAGAGCCCCATTCTTATGAACGCAAGGTTTACCCTGCATCGGGTCTGATTGATTGTTGTGAGAATCGCTGCTACTTGGTGAAAATGAAGTGATGAGAAGATCCCTAAATGGCGCCAATTTGGTCTTCCAGAGGCCACCCACTCGTTTGTTACAACACAGCATGATTGGTAGGATGAAGGCCGAGAGTTGGTTCAGAAGCTGAGCGATGATGGCTAGACTAGTGATGGGTTTGAACAGGAAAGTCACGTAGATGATCCAAGACGGAAGCCAGAAGACACCAAATATTCCCGCTATCTTTATGTGTTCATAAAAAATAAAAGGTGTAAAATAGAAATAAATGTAAACGGCAGTGGTTTGTGATGGCATGAATGATAGCGCCAGCTATCGACGCATCGTATGGAATAATAATAATGACAGTTATTGTAATTAACCGAACATCGATACCGGAATATAATGTAGTAAAGAACTCAAGTCGTGCATGCCTGAGCATGTAAATAAGTCCTAGCCTTCTACTGATGTCAAGAGAGATCTAATGTTCAACTCGTTATTAAGCATTCTTTGTTTAAAGGGACACCCAACCTTGATTCAAAAGTAGTCTTCTAGTAAGGAAAACAGAAAATTAGAGAAGAAGACTGGTGAAGATTGAATTAAATTGAACAGAAATTAAGAAAATTATGATTTTTTTTCAAAAGAATGGGCTCTTAAAGATAAAGTTGAGTTCTGGTCATGTGATTGCATAGTGAAAGAAACGGTGTGGAATCTATCAGAAAAGGTTGATCATCTAGTATATAAGTATTCGTGTGTATTGCAAGGTTCTGGAATCATCAAAATCATAAGAAATTTGGCCAAATCTTGGCAAAGTTACAAGCACTGTACACAGAATGATGTATATGGGACTACACGAGCACATGGCGAAAAAAAACCTACCCCCCCCCCCCCGATTTTCACGATGTTTCATGTCATATTTAGAATATGTAGGCATTTGAAGAGGCATGCTTTTCAGGGAACATGTTTAATCTGATGTTCTTCCACCCTTGCATAATTACAATGATAACGCTCACAAATTATTTTTTTACCTCTTCCCAGAACTTAACCTTCTCTTTAAATTTGGCTGAACCGGTAATTTATCTGTGATGTACTAGCGGACAAAGTTTCCATTTGTTCCAACGCATAAAGTGACTAAAGTGACATAAAGTGATAAAGTGAAATTGTCAACATTTTAAAACGGATGACTCAGGAGAGTAATTATTTTCATTTTAGAGGACATATAGCTGGCACTATTATCTTCTGCAGTGGCAGTACAGGCCACCGTCAGGTGTATTGTCGTACTGTTATTATTCCAGTATTTCCTTTACGGAATTCTACAATACTTGGTGTATTGTTTTTCTTTCATCGTTGTTTAATAATAATCATGAAACTCAGCTTTTTTTCCTTTTTTTTTAAAGAGCACCACTCCGGAGTATTCCCTTAACATCGAAATATGATATCTAAAAGTGTACTTTTAAGGCCATCTATGCCATTACAGAATTATGGGGACTCTTTTGACACTATCTGCGATATCCGAAAAGCAGTTTTTTTGTAGGCCTAGTCCACGAAATTAATCAGAACAAAGAATGGTGTAGAGACAAGGCGGATTTGTTTTCCCTAAGGGAATATGAATCTGTCGTGGCAAATATCATCTTTAAAATTACCCAAACGACTGCTAAGATTATACCATACCTTTATTGTTATCTGACGGTCATTCCTCCAATCTGACTTTCCTCTCGAGTTAAGTGATGCTAACTCTTGTCGTGTGGCTCTCAATCTGTAAAGCACCAAAACAAACAAGAAACAGTCCACGAGGAAGGGTACTGCAGTTTGTACCGCTAAAAGATAATTAGGCCATCCATCAACAATCCAGCAGTATTCGTCGATGTCATAGATTTTGATGCCTCCAATGTGCAGAAAGACGGCTAGGAGAGAAAACAGCAATGGTACGCACCATCCAAAGAGAGAGAGGAGAAGGAATAAGCGGCTTTCAGAATCTTCATCGACGCGATGAATACCTTTCCTGCCAAGTGTCCACGCCAGGAAAATAGCAACAGCCGTCCACCAGTAGTTTGGTACAAGTACAAAGTAGTAGATGAGAGTAGCTATGAAGACACAAAGTTGAGGATTATCAGTTTCAAGTGGGATGTACCCTGATGTGTAAAAGAGAGACAGCAACCCTGCAACTACAAGGCTCAGGACATTCTTACCATGGGTGTTACGGAGCTCTTTGAACATGACAAACGTGAGCAGGCAGCAGAGAAGTGCAGCTAAAGAAACGCCGTTGAGAATTTGAAGACACACCTTCAACCAATCTGGAAGTTTGTCCCACGTCTGATCGCCACGTAGAGGAATAATGGGCGGTCCAATACGTACCGTTGGGCAGTATAAGATGAACGACAACGTGTCGATACGGACTGGATCGTCAAAATCATCATTAGCGATAAAAGCAAAGGGAGGTAAAAAATCAGTGACTATTGTTCTTTTTATACTACAGTTACCATCTTCCTCCTGCT